CCCGCCCCGTGCGTAATATGTGGCCGGCCCAGAACCGAGTACCCCGTCACGTCACCGATCTGACAAGCCCGATGACCCGTCAAGTGTCCACCTTAGATAAGACAGTCGGGCGAGGACATACCCGGGCCGCTCCGGACGGACACAGAACTGGACGCGAGACGGACGGGGGTACCATAGTAGACCGTAGAGGAGGCAGATTTCCGACCTGTGGGTGATTGGCGGGTGCTCTGGTATGGTTTGCTTCTTCTTCTCTATGAAACATCTATCGTCCTTATCTCCCCCTTTTCATTTTTATGTTTGTTACTCTCTTGTAACACCTCTAATCTTCTGGCGCTCATATGACCTTATGCAGTTGCGAGAGCCATAAAACCTCTACTAAAACTAAACAAAGATTCCCGACCCTGCCCGTCAGGGCCAACCCGGACTGAGAGGGATACAGCATCTCAGCAGAAAGATAATTGATGAATTTTGTTTTCGCCACTCGTGGATTCGATGGCAACAAGGTTAAAGGGCGACCGAGAAAGACCTGGTTAGATGGAGTCAGGGAAACACAAACCATCCGCGGCATCCCCCTGACCCAAGCTCTCCGGCTGGCGACAGAGAGACGTCTCTTTCTTCCCGCGACATCCAAAAGGGTAAACGCGGCGGATAAAAGTAAAAGTAAAAGCAAAAGCCTCTCGGGGATCGAACGAGAGTCTCCAGTGTGCGACAGCAAAGCGTCTAACCGCTACACCGCTGCTGCCATTTTTAGATTGCTGTACCAGCCATGTTGGGAGACTCGGGACAGAGGAGGGAGAGGCTTCGGTGGTCTAGTGGTTAGCCTGTTTGCCAGGCAACCGAAAGGTCGTGGGTCTACCGCCCAGGCAAAGCTGGACCGTCGGTGGTCGGCGGGTACTCTGGTGTGGCTTTCTTCTTCTTTCCTATCAAACGGCTATCGTCTTTATCTCCCCTCTTTCTTTTTTGTGTTTGTTACTCTCTTGTAACTCCTCTAATCTTCGGCACTTATATGACCTTATTGTGTTGCAAGTGCCGTAAAACCTCTACTAAAACAAACAAGTGGGTCTACCGCCCAGGCAAAGCTGGATCATGCCTACTGTTTTTAGACGGACACACAAGGCCTTACGCACACACATCGCCGGCACACTCTGTCCCTCTCCCCAGCTCTGTGATTGAGGAGGCGGGTAGAGGCAACGAAAGGGGGGTGGAGAAGCCGTCCACAGCTTGTTGAGGTTGTTGGTGTGTGTTTAGGGATATCAGGGACAAGTCACTACCCTTGTCATTGGATACATGTCTCTGCTACATACATGCCGATCGCCGGTGCTGTTGAGGGAGAAAGAGGAGGCGGGCTGCTCCAAACTAACGGCCGTGTGGCGACGCTCGGACCTGTCCTCCTTCCATTGCCCCGCGCGCTGGGACAGAACGCCTTAACTCACCGAGGACACGTCATGTTCTGAGGACACATAATCTGAGGACACATGTGAGGACACATAATCTGAGGACACATATTCTGAGGACACATTATGTGAAGACACACCTTCTGAGGACACACGTTCTGAGGACACATGTTCTGAGGACTTATGTTATGACACTTAATCTGAGGACACATGTTCTGAGGACACATTTGAGGACACATGTGAGGACACTTGTTCTGAGGACACATGTTCTTAGGACACATGTGAGGACACATATGTGAAAACACATGTTCTGAGGACATATGTTAGGACACGTGTTAGGATACATGTTCTGAGGACACATTTGAGGACACATGTGAGGTCACACGATCTGAGGACGTACGATCTGGTCATCTCACAACGCCTTTGACGGCTCTGTTTGAGGAACTTGAAAAAAAAGAAGCGCAACTATAGTATTCCGAGAAATTTCTCACTTCTGTTTTCTTTATCTGATAAGGCAGACTACACCATCAGGCAACACCTTCAGTCCTGTGACTGTGATACACATCTATCAGACACATGTGTGTCTCGCGTATGGTGCTTGACGGTAGGAAATATGCCGCGACTCGGCCCGTGGGGTGATGGCTGGACGTGTTTGTGTGTGTGTGTGTGTGTGTGTGTGTGTGTGTGT